CCTAGTTTCCCGCTAAAAGCCGAAATCTGATGGATTTCGGCTTCGGTCCCATTGGCTAGCGCGCGTCACAGTTTCAAAAAACGAGGCTCCCATTGGTCACTGCGTGCCAGTTTGAAGGAGGGCCACCCCATGGCGCTGCGGGCCTGCACCGCCTAGAGTTCCTGTATAGGCTCCCTACGGGAGTCAGAGTTGCGCATTTGTTTTTCCCGCGCCGCCACGCCGCCATTCGCCGAGATCCATCACGTGAGGAGCAAAGCATCTGGTGGCGTGCAAGAAAGCCACCTTTACGGTTGCTCCGCCGACGTTTCTCTTGCCCCGGCGTATGTTTCCCTGCTTTCCGCCTCCTTTTACTCCTCTCCTGTTTTCCATGCGCGGCGGCGCGCACGACGCCGCTATTCGCCAAATTTAGTCACGTGAGGAGCAAAGCATCTAGCTCGTGCGGGAAAGCCGGCGCTACGGCCACGCGCCGAGGCTGAATGCGCAACTCTGCTACCGTAGGTAGCATATACAGGAACTCTAGCGCCGCCAGCGCGCGGACAAGAAATCGGCTGTACCGCCGCTCTGGAGAGCGTCGGCACGGCCGATGTCAGCGCAGCGCGGCTACTTCGCGAGGACGCGCCCAAGAACGACGTTCATGCTTTCGCATTCACAACTCATAAGAAGTGCTTAGGTGTACCTCGAGCCTCTTTGTTTCGCTATCGCGCTCCAATCCTAAAGGCGAAGCTTAAGAGTCCTCCAAGTTTTTGTAGACTTGATAAATAAAATGCATTCCTTTTTTTTTTGTATTTGGGGCAGCATGATTTCACATCTTAAAGGACAAATAAAAATTGCGACTTTCACACGGCGACTAAAAAAAAAAGCGGTTACGCTTGAGTTTTATGCTTTGTAGTAATCAGTGATCACCTATCGGAGTTTACGCCCCCAGCGTCGAACACCCGCTGACAACCGTCAGCGGCTGTTCGTTGTCGAGCATAGGGAGTTTTTACTGGCGGCCTTGATGCCTCGTTCACACTTGCGAACCGGCGGCCGGATCCGCGAGAATTCTGACGCCCGGCGACGAAAGCAGGCAGAATTTCTGGCGGAGAGTAAGATCGCTCTGGGACCAATTTTGAACGCCGGAAAAAAGCTTTCTCTCGCCGCAAGCCAATCAGAACGCACGGGGGAAGTGGCGCTTGCTGACGTCAGATCCCCGTTGACGAGCTGGCGACGATGGCGACGAGACGCGCGCGGGCAAGGAGGAGGTTTGGGAGCTCTCGTCAACTCTCGTCTGTTCGGGAAACTGCGAGGCGCTCGCGCCGCGCACTCCGCAGGTGGAAACCAATGTGTACGGCCTGATCTTTTTTCGGCGAGCGAATCCAGTCGGCGGCGAGTGCGTATTTTGCTAGTGTGAACGAGGCTGACGCGAGCTTCTAGAGTTATTTTGCAACGTGCCTTCCATATACCGTCAAGATTGTTGGTCTCAGTAGCCTAGCTGTTAGTGTGAGCTCGTTTTGAGCATGAGCTCTAAACAGCGCCCTCAAATATGGCGTCCAGTGAATACGCCGCTCAGGCTGCCAATGTTAATTATAGCTACGCGCTGGGATTGGCGAAGCATACGGCACCCGAGCTGAACTCCAGACATTGCTGGAGTTTCGCTAGTCCCATCACTGGAGCGATTGGACACGTGCCACTAGCCGAATTTTTCTCAAGGCATTGATTGCCGCTAGCGCAAGTCACGTTCCTACGCAGTGCTCGTGTCGAATCCATGGGCAGCATTTGACGATCGTCACCATAGGCTAATCCAGTGACTGCGCCAAACCCCGTGCTCATCATTTCCACGTCGTCCTATTCTGCGAAAGAGAGGCTGAAATAAATAGTGTCTTGGGCCAGTGGTGTTCCGTGCAAGTCCACCTGAGTCACTTGGGCCAGTATGCATCTGCACTGTTGGAAACCTACGAACTCAGTATTGTAGCACGGCCCTCTTAACGCGAAAGTGGGGGACGGAAAAGGAAGTTCATTGTGAGGTGCCCGAATATACGAGGTGGCTGAGTTTCAAATTTTTTTACCACAATTTTTACAGCGGTGTTAGTGGCAAAATCAGGCGTTGTTTGAGTGCGAAATCTTAAGTCATCGTGGGAAGACGGGTGACAATAATTAGAGTGACAAAGAATGACCTGAAGTATGGTGCTGCATCGCACTGCATGTACAGAGGCTGGGGATTTGAATGAGGAATATAAAAAAACGTGTATAATGAAACTGAACAGTTACTGCGCGCTGACGACTGGTTCTAATTTAACTTTCTGCATTGGCGCCATTATCCTTGTTGTCTAGTATCGTAAATTTGTTTTCTGATCACGCTAACTGGCCCCGATTCGGTTAACTTTACCAAGCTCACTCGCACGCCTGTATTTATGTCCGCAGCACCTTACGGTATTCTCCTGGAATACACATTACAGTTCGAGATCTGGAGTCATCCTCCTCAACGTAAGTTTCATGTCGACAAGCGAAAGGGTGGTTCTGGGCTTACGCCGTCCAGATCGACTTGAATGTTGCTTGCTAAAAATAACTTTTTATTTTTTTATTTTTCAGTTTTGAGTGTCGAGAGAAAGTACTTTTTGTTTGTTTGCGCCCGATCCCTCAAAGGTCATCATGACAATAGATCACATTACCTGGTGATAGTTACCAAAATTCATAAGGGAAGAAAATTGTCTCACAAGGTCAAGGCAAAAATAAAAAAAAGAAGTGTTTAGTCTAGGTGGCGCAAGCTACTGCCCATTCTAAAGAATCCAGCCGTTAACATCCATCAATCCACCTGAGAGAACCGACTATCTTGGGGTCTGCTGCGAAATAACGCTTATGACCTTTCCATGTGCTGGAAGAGGAGCAGCTGCTTTCGGCGATACACGAAATATTTGAAAGGTCTGCGGTTGCGCACGGATTTTATTGGCTTGCAGATGCAGCGCAAATACCGTTCGAGACGAATTACCAAATGTAGGAGGTCGAGGACCTTGTCAAGCCGTGCTTTACAGCTTTTTTTCTCGACCTCCGCCATCAGTGTTGATGGGAAATAAACTAACTTACTCTCGGTGCTGGTTATTTGAGATTGACATTTTCGAAAACATGCATTTGACCCTTACTCACTGGTCGTGAATAGCGTATGTCCAACCGCTGACCCTTTGCTTCATCGTCTTAAATGATCACGTGTAGGGTGGTAATCGCCGATAGTTAAGAATTCGGTACTCACCGGCCATGTGTCATCGCCCAACGCGACCTTGAAGTCCTCTAACATATACAGTATACGACAACAGGCACGGCTAGGATAAACGGAACTTAGCTGTTACTTTTCGCCATGTTAGACACGCTTGACCTTTCCGATATTTGTCTTTTTTTTTTCTGAAAGCGGAGTCACTTCGTGTTATTCACTGTAATGTGCAAGACTGCCATAACATCTTCAAGAGGCAAAAAAAAAATGTTTGTCGCATTCTTGCAGTGTTGTGCCCGTTACCGAAAAAAAGTAACGAAATAGCGTTACTCGTTAGTTTGGTAAAAAGTAACGCGTTATCGAGCTACGTTCCTTTTTTACAAACGTAACGATATACCGTTACCGTTACTTGTCAAAAGTAACGAAAGTTACTTTTACGTTACTTTTCTGTTCGAGTACATATGTTTGGAAGAGATGTATGATAAGCCTCCTTAACAAGCTTGGATAAAGATAAAAATTTACAGAGTAGTTTCATAGTGCTTTGATGCGCGAAGCAGCTTAATTTTCGGCATGCAGATTAGGCATTGAAACTGTTGATTACCTGATTCTGTCTCCTTTAGTTAATACATTTCATTCAGACCTGCTGGCCATGGCGACGGACTTTCGTTATTCATGCCCATCTCACGCGCAGAATGAGTCGGAGATGTTAGTCAATCGGCTTTTATAAACTACAGCATGCGAACGGGGACTGCTGGAACACAACCAGCCAACCAACACCCCTCATCTGTACGCCGGTTTTAGTAACAGTCCGGTTCATACTATTACCAGAGACTGATTTACTTCACTATCTGGAACAGGACACCGGTTACCAGCGCACTGGCTATAATCACTTGCTGCCTCTTACCAGCAGTAGCTCTCAGTTTTTCTGTGAAAAAAAAGAAAAGGTTTCGTGTTTGGAAGTTTTCTTTCCAGGTTTAAAACTTTTTTTAATATTTTTTTTTATCATGACCTTAGGGAAGTAAAGACTAATCAAGCGAAAGATTCTTCTGTGTACAAAAGTGGGTCAGGAACTTTCAGGCAGCAGGGGGACAGCGAGGGTAAAAATATTCCACAAAGGGTGTTTCTTTTTTTTTTTTTTTTGAACTAGAGAAATGAGCAAATCGCTTCGCCACTAGTTGTCCACTGTTGTAAACGGATGTCTCTCCACGGCTCCCCCCCCCCCCCCCCCCCCCACGCTGTCCACTTCTGCTGCACAAAGCAAGGGGAGGGAGAGGAGGGAGGGGAGGAGGCTGTAACGCAGTCGTTCGTTCAAGCCTTGTGGGTGGTGACACGATGAAAATAAAAAGAAAAAGGAGGATGAACGGAATTAGCTGGTAGCCGAAGGTTTGTTTCGCCTTCGAGAAGTGAGTTTTTTTGTTTTTTGTTTTAACTTTACTGGGACGGATGCCTGTTCCGTGCAGCGATAAGCTGGTGCAGGATTTTGAGATAAGCTCGTGCAGGATTTCACCAGTTTTGGTCAAAAGTAACGAGTAACGAAATTTTACAGCCGATACCGTAAAAAAGTAACGGAAATACTTTACTCGTTAGTCATTCAGAATACTAACGAGTACGTTACTGCGTTAGCGAAAAATGTAACGCGTTACCAGTAACGTCGTTACTAGTAACGCGTTACCTCCAACACTGCGTTCTTGGTTAGGACACGTGTGCCCAGTGGTACCGATTTGCTGACGTAACTGTAAGATGAGTAATGGGCGGCAGCTGTTTTTCTCGAGTCACAACTGGGCTCGAATCGCCACTGCCCTTAGAGTCAGTCGCACTCGAACTATCGGCACCGTACTTTGCGCTTTTCCGCAGCTGGATTTCTGTCACTTTTCTCGGAAGCACTCTAAATGTGCTATGGCTCACGAATGCATGAAGACTGTAGTTTTTATTATTTTTCTTTTCTGCGTAGGCGTTTCTTGTTCTACGCTCGCATCAAGATGCCCGAAAATAACGTTCGCTGAACGACTTGGAAAGTATCCGGACGCTTTAGAGGTAAATTCCTACTTTGCTTATGGCGATAACTGATTATATATAATATGCAATATTTTACCCAGAAAACATATTGACACCGAGGTCGCTGACAACTTCAGAAAGGCCGAGCTTGGCCAGTCCCGTGCATATCATTATCGCTCCAGAACCAATCAGATTGCGGCATTAGCCGAGAAGGACGCCCTAGATCAAATCCTGAAGCAGAAACGAGAACATAAGCCACTCCCTGCTTTTCTTAAGATGTCAATGACTACAGCAGGATCAATAGATATAGCAAGGAATAAGCAAAGCGTAACTTCACTTCACCATTTCTTATGTTTATATGCTAAATTCCAACTTTCCTCTAATAAAGATAACTTTACCAATAAATTAATTTGTATAAAGTCAAAAATATATCATAAATTTAATGGTAAGTCTGCGTCTTGTGTGACGTCATATGCACAGCATATTCTAATCATTTTGTTCTTTACATATAGCTTAAATTAAAAATTTGAATATTGGTGCGCGTGAAAGTGTAAAGCAGTTTCAAGGGCCTTTGAATTTAGTCCATATTTTTACAACAGCAAGAGTTTTGGTAGGGTTTGGTTGTATTAAACGAGTTGCCGTGTGCATGACCGAGAAGGAACGCTTCACCGTACTTCTAGAAGATCCGAGCTTACTCTTACCCCGAGTGTAAAAGACAAAGGGGCCAACATGATTTTGCCAAGTCAGTCTCGCCCTAGCTCACTCCCGAACATTCTGGTGAATAGTCGAGATACCGAGCCCCGAGATCGACCTTGCCGATTCACATCAGACCCTCCCGACGACACTTCACTCTCTGGTCGTCTCGCTGCAGCCAGCTGTCACGCCGACGCCTCGGCATTCGCTGCTTCTGTTTTGGCGCTCATTCTTTCTGTTGTTTTTGGCACAAGTTCGCCGATTAAACATTTATTTACAGTTTATGCTCAAGAATGAGCGCCAAAACAGCAGTGGCGAATGTCGCGGTGTCGGCTGGACAATATGGCGCGATAAATGTAGCGTGTTTTTTCTCCGAAAATATAGATAGGAGCTGCAAGTAGGCTCAGACGGTGTACGTCTGAAATAATGAAAATATAACGGCATCAACAAATATAACTTACAAAATGAACACAAGCCTGTACTATACAGAAGCATGTTCGTTGCAAAGATGTTTACTCTTGTGAGTCATGACACTGAGCATGGTGAGTGAATCTTTGCGGTAAAGTTACAAGTTGGTGTGTTTCTTCGGTCATGTTTAAATAAATGGAAATGAAACGCCGCATCTTTAAAATAATTTAGGGTGACCGCCGTGGAATTCGTCTCTTGATGTGAGGCTGAGTGGAGACCAAGCCTTCAGAACATTATATTGACTTATTACGTTCACATCTTTTGGTATCCTAACCGAACCTACATTACAATCCAACTTCAACACCTGCTCAATAAGAGCCTTTTAGAGTTGGCCTCAGTCTTAAAGGTCCCTTTTGGTCTGACCATAGCAAAACTAGAAACTTGCGAAAACATGTATTTTGTTTTGTTTCTTTATAAACTTTTTAAATCCTGCTTGAACATTTGTTCGCGCTGCTGTATTTCCAACGTTTATAATACATTTCCAGCTGACTCGCTCGCCTTATTAAGTTTGTTTCTTATTATTAATGGGTTAAGAAGGAAACGGCGGCGGCTTAAAAAGCATGAAACTTCCGAAAGGCCAGAGGAGGTGCGGAACATTTCCAGGTACTTTAAATGCGAAGTTCGCAGTGCTATATTTTTTTTATATGAATAATTCCCTTCTAAACTTTATGAAGACTTCCCCTGAAATTTTTTGGAGGCATTTATCTCCTCCGAGAGATGCGGTAACCAGCATAGTTGAAAACGGTTCTGTTATAACGGAGAAAGATCAGATGGCTTCATTATTCAACGAATACTTTCAGTCAGTTTTCACAAGAGACAATGGTTCCCTTCCTGCTTTTCACGTTTCTGGCAGCATACCTCCCATTCCAAACATATACGTGAATCAGGAAGGTATTTTTACTTTGCTGTTAAAAATTTATACAAAAAAGTCTCCGGGACCAGACGACATTTCAAATTCGTTTCTGCAAAGATATGTCGAATGGTGTTCCCATTATTTAGTGATAATTTTTAAACTTGCACATAGCAGAGAAATGATTCCACGAGACTGGAAGTGCGGGAAAGTAATTCCTATTCACAAACAAGGCGCAAGAACCACCCTGAGCAATTATCGACCAATATCCCTCACTATTACGTGCTACAAAACTTTCGAACATATAATAGCAAAACATTTGATAGATTTTATAGAAAGCAACAACATCCTGGGCACTAATCAGTACGACTTTAGGCAGGGTTGTTCTACAACTACGCAGCTGATTGAAGTTTTTCATCACCTTGCAGAAATGTAGATAAGGGGGGACAAATTGATGTCGTGGTTTTAAACTTCGCGAAAGCCTTCGATCGCGTATCGCAACCGAAGTTATTACATAAACTTAGTCTCATTCTAAAGAACAGCCAAATTGTAGATTGGTTTGAGGCATACTTATCGGACAGAAAACACTTTGTTTATCTTCAGGGCGAAAGGACCAACTCATTGGTATTGTTATCTGGTGTTCCGCAAGGTTCTGTGCTTGGACCGCTCTTTTTTATATTGTATATTGGTGACATGAGTGACGGATTCGATCCTGCCATAAGTTTAAAGCACTTTGCAGATGACACCATAGTATATTGTAGTACCTCCGTTAATGATCAAGAGAACCTAAATAGGCATCTGAGCGAAATAGATAAATGGTGTACTCTGTGGAAGATGGAACTGAATATTAAGAAAACTGTCTATACGAATGTAACGCGTAAAAAACAAATTCTGGAATTTAACTATTACATAAACGGCCTTTTTTTAATAAAGTTACTGAGTATAAATATCTGGGAGTGTTGTTTAGCTCCGATCTAACTGGAACTCCCATATCGATCATGTATTTCAAAAAGGATTTCAAAAACAGTGGATGATCAGAAGAAAGCTAGATCATGCGAGTCAAGAAGTAAAATTAATGGCGTTTAAATGACTGATTTTACCAACCATTAACTATGCGTGCCCTGTATGGGAGACATTTACCACTAGAAATGTTCATATTCTGGAAAGACTACAAAACAAAGCAGTGCGATTTATATTCAATAGTTACAAATCAACTGACTCTGTCTCCGCACTCAGGTCCCGAGCAAACCTATGCAGTGTTCAAACAAGGTTGGCTATGAGCAGAATGAAACTTTTTTTTTTTTTTTTTTTTCAAATTTTGAGTGGATGTTGCAGAATAAATGTTTCGAAATACGTAACTCCCGAACCTTTGCAGCATAGAACAAAACATAATCGTTATATTCAACCATATTGGTGCTCAACAGATCGTTTTAAGTACTCCTTTTTTGTTCGGTGTATAGATGAATGGAACAAGCTACCCGCACGTGTTGTCGATTCTGAAGATCTCATGTCATTCGCAAAGGAACTAGAGTTTGTGTATGCATGTAATTAATACCTTTTTATTCATGTTTTTTTGTGTGTATGTAATTACGACATTTTGTTTATGTTTGCTATTTGTACCACCCCTGCCCTGGCCTTACCGCTGGCAGTAAAAATAAAGAAAAATAAAATATATAAAATAAAATGGGTGGCTTTAACTTAGTATTACTCTCTCAGATTACGTACTAAACCAAAACGTGAATGAAACGAAGTGATTAATATTAGGTGAACTCAATAAAGCAGGTATCAGATACAAGTGAGAATGTAAGCACACCAGCTGTTTTATATCAGTAACTTAAATGTTGGGAATGTGTTTGTCACCTGAGGTGTTTTGGTTGGTTTCAGGATTTTCTGTGTGTGTCATATAAACTTGACAAAAATGCGGTCTTTACATAAGCGCTCTTATTATGTCGGAACTCCTTGTGAGTGGCTTCGCACTTTATATTTGGAGTGTCCCCCTTGCATGCCTTGCTTTCTGGCCGAATAGGGTTATCTAAAACTATTAAAGTGAATTGTTCTGCGGTAATATTGTTATACAAATCAAACATTTGACATTTCTTTGCAGCTTATTAGTGAGAAGTCACCCAAATACTCTCTCGTGTTTCATTCTCATAACCGCGGATTCACTCAGCAAACGCCATGTCTGGAAATATTAAATTTTGCAGTCGACCGGGCCTCATGGCTCTCAAAAGCTACATACGCATATTATAATATGCACTCAAAATATATGTAAGTACAAGCCACCGTAAACAGGAAAAAAAGTTTTTATATTTCATTGCGATAAAGTTTTTGATACTGTATAGTTTTATTCAGAATTGCTGATTGTTCATTTAAATAAAAATCATTAAAAAAAGTAACTTATAAATTATAAAAAAACACATAATTAAATTTTATAAATTGGCAATCCTGAATAGAAAAGGCCGAGTTTAAAGTTTTGTAACAATCGTAGTTAACCTGACGCCGCATTTTATAATTTCAGAACAAAAGGCCACATTTACATATCGACGAAAAAGCACACTAATACATTTATTTCAGATGATACGTTTGTTGTCTACTTGGACGGATCAGGTAGATATACTACCCCTTATTTTAACATTTCACATTTTAATGAACATGAATACTAGTCATGAAAAAATACGGGCACTTTGCGCATAAAAAAGCTTACTTTGTATAGCCCGAAAAAAACTACAGATGAGGAGATACTTAAAAGTATGTCTATTTGCCGAACATCTTACCAGACCCCACTACAGTGAAATGTGTCCGGGATCGAAATCTATTTTTTTTGTATAGCGGTAGCTGCTACTGCTTCTCCCCGGCAAATATCCTCATGTACAATCGCAAACCCCCGCTTTACGGCAGAGACACTTATCTCGCTCTCCTCACCATTCCTCACACATAGACGCCAACTGCGACAATGCTCTCGCGAAAAGTTTCCGCTAAACTTAGCGGGAAAATTTCTTGCCAAATTTAGCGATGAATTTTGTCCTCGTGATGTCACACATGACGTCACGTGTGACGTCACTTGAATGAATGTGACGTCACGTGAACTTCAGCGGATAAAATCTTTCCGCTAAATTTATACAAAACGTTTCCCCGCTAAATTTAGCGGGGAAATTGACGTCACGTGATTTCAACACCAATTCATTATCCCCGTCAAATTTAACTAAAACTTCCCGTTAAATAGGAGGGGAGCAGGAGAAGAGGAGGGCAGGGTACGAAGGGGGAGGAAGGGCATACTCTCCCCTCCGTACCCTCCCCTGCTCCTACTCAAGAGCTACGGTCTAATTCGGCATTACAGAGAATTGTAAACGCCTTTAATTTTTTCGAATGATTCACGACCTGCTCGATAGTTTATTTATTGCATTATTACTATAGCCAATTTCTTACAGCTTTTCCTCCCATCTTCTTGTACCCGCTTTCCCTCTCTATAACGCCTTCGGGCCCTGAGGGCATGTTTAATTAATAAATAAATAAATATTGCCCAGTGTCTAATTTTGCCACTGTTTTGTCTCAAATACGCGCACTCCACCTCTTTTAACAGTTTTCATTTTGCCTTTTAATAGTCAGGAAAAACAAGACTATTTATTTTGTCATGATGCTATTCACCCGAGAACGGGGGTTTCCGTGTTCTAGTCTGGTGTTAATATTAAATATTACTGCAGTAAACGTCTGCTAGCTCAGCTTTGCACACTAAATGTATTGTCATCAATTGTTCGCGGTGAGATTGTCTCGCGATGTATAAGCAGTTAAACACGTGAAGTGGCCATATACACGAAAACTTTTAATAAGACAAGCTTGAGAATTGACATTTACTAATTACTTTATTTTATTTACTTATTTATGGTGCCTATTAAAACCTATGGGCCTGTTACGGAAGTGCACAAAAAATATTCAGAGCACAACGCGGAAAGCAAGAGTCGAACATAACAAGAGTGGAATGCTCCTCTTTAAAAAGAGGTGATAATTGAAAATGTCAGCAATGTGTCAAGATGATTAAATTGATTATCAGATCACAATTTTATATGCAGATTAGAAAGCAGACTCCTGAATATTCTCTCGAATTTTAAGACAATATAATGCTCCGATGCTTAGGTCAAGGTGGAACTCCGTGGTCAGCACTTGAGAGCGAAATAATTCACAATGATGAATATTGTGTGTTTATCAGATCTCCAATGTTAGGTAAGGAAGAATTTTTTTTTAGAATAGCTTCTTTTCTTGTTTGTTCAATCTAAATAAATATATTTTCAACGTCGTCGGGATTAAAAACAACCGCAAAATATTATAACAGATCCAATTTTTGTTTCCGCTAAATAAAATGTGATAAAAAAAAAAGAACAGATGTTTTTGTAGAGTTTGGGAATTCTTGTATGGTAAAACTTTGTTCAAAGAGCTGGAGCAATGCTGTCCGATGAGCCTGAATTTATATCGAATGAACTTCTCTCTGAAATAAAACTTAATTTTTTTACTGCAATAACAAATAATTTTAGAAATAATTTCGAAAACACTTCTGGGGTCCTAATCTACAGGGCAGGACCAAGCGGGACCATAGGAGCGGGACATCGCCGCCTTCTAGGATTTGTCAGCGGCTGAGCACTGAACAATTGCAGCAGGCGGTGTTGTCCTGCTCCGATGGTCCCGCTTGGTCCTGCCGTGTAGATAAAAGACACTTACCTGCTCTTCTTTGAGAAATTAGGCTTCTTCTAAAAGTCGCAGCGCTTCTCATCGAACTTTTTCCCCGAAATTTACAATCTCTTCCTACATTTTCATATGGTGAAGTCCTTTAAATGGGTCCATATCACATAAGCGAATAACATCTTAGAGAAGAGCGGTCATCTAAGCGAAGGACTAGGGAACTTGTTAGCCCACCCGCCCCCCTGCGTTCACGCCGCTTGACGGCATAGGTTGTGGCGGCTCATTACAAAATTGTTCATCCACCTGGCCCAACCGTAAGCGCCGCTTTACGGTGGCCGACCATTCGCTAAAGTGTTTTTTTTTAATGAAAAGTCGGCGTTCACTAAAACGCCGTTCAACTAATTGAGCGCCACCTGCTCCAGATGTTTTTACATTACAGAATTACTGGGCTAATGCGAAGAAATATTTTCAAAATCCGGTAGACAACCATTGGTGGTGGTGACTTGGCTTAGCAGGAATAGTTTGCGTGGGTGAAAAGGCTCTATGGTTCTTTTGTATGCTCTGTATAGGCTCTTAATCATTGTACAGAGAGATTGTTAAGTCGTTTTGTTTTTATTCTATATCATGGTAAGCCTCGTGATGACTAAAAGTTAATGGATATTCCGTTCAAACCTTTTAGAAACATTAACGAGCCTGTAAACCCATTTTATACCGCATTAAATGAAACCCTTGGCCATAATAATTACGTAAGCTTCTCATGCAACTGTCATTTCTCCAGAAAGAGATACAATATAATTCGACGTTTCGGTAGGAAAAAGAGGCTTTGTATTCTCGTTCCTAAATATTCTAAATCGTTATTTAATATTAAGTATATATTCAAGGGCCCTGAAGCTGGTAGTTGACCAAATCTCCCGTAGACGGGAAGTGACCAATTACACTCTTTTTTCCATCGATCAAAAAACGAAATAAAAAAGATATCAAGAAATTTTGTTGCCAAGAATGTTGGGTGCTTCACCCTGATTAAGGTACCTCTAATATCAACCTAAGATCTCCCGCTCTTGGTAAAGGAACATATGCGCAGTGTCTGTTATTCTGAAACCGGTAGCAGCGCGCAAAAAATACACAGAGAGGACTAAGCAGGACAAGAGAGGAATAAACAAGACAAGCGCCTACCTGTCCTTTCCTTCCATTGTGCATTTTTTGCGCGCTACTACCAGTTTGTAACCACGAATCAACTTGCCTGCATGGCTACATTGATTCGCAATTCTAGTCTTTGCGCGTGATCTTGCCTAAGTTTGTCCTGCTGACATATGACTACCATGTGATTTTTAGGGTCGCAAGTGTGGGCCAGAACAGCATATCTAAAAAACAACCAGGAAGTGCCTTACCTCTGTACATTCCTCTATGAGATGTGTGGAGCGACAGAAAAGTACTTTGTGTACAACTTCACAACATGTAAAAATTTTGATCCGAAATAAATGTAGTTTCTCCAACAAAGTAGGTGTATACTTCAGTTCAGTACATAAATTATAATGCATGTAAATGCATTCAAAACCAATACACAACTTTGATCTTACTTAAAATAGATACCTTCTGGACCAACGTTATCGTAACTACATTAACACAAAGGAACGCACGATATCAGAAGGTGATGGTAACTAGGCACCGCAGTGCGAAAAATTGGAAGGTTCTGTATTTTAACAAAAGAAACTCGTTTTTATTAGAAATACAATCGCTGATAACGTACCAATATTTTCTGCGCAATATTAGTTTCAAGAGGATAAGCCAATCATTCAGTTTGTAATGTGCTGCACAAGTGTTATATTAGCTGCAATAGCATTTATTTGGTTTCGACTGAAGAACAGGACAAAGATTTTCAGAAGTTGTCTGGAAACGGCTGGTTAAATTGGGTTGGTGTCTACATTGCGGCTTTCTTGCTTTGGTCAATATTGGTCAGAGTGCACCAATCAGAGTTCTCACTGATATTATTATTTACCAGCGAAAAATAAATGAAAAAAATTTCATTTACTGCGCCTAAATACACTTTGTTGGCTCGAGTAGTATCCCTAGCAGCACACTTCACCGGCTCATACCTGAGACAGTTTGGCGCAATCTTGGGCTAAGCTTGAGCTAAGTTGGCTCTAGATCGCTCCAATTTGGCCCAGGCCTAGGCCGAGGAGGTGTGCTGCTTGGAATCATATTGACTGTACAATGAATCGACCACTGATCACCCGAAAATAAACAGTTTTATCTACATTGATACTCTTCGGTAGACTTCGGAGTCAGTCATTATGCTTCACCAAAAACCTTAAAGGGCATACAAAACTTTATTTCACGTGTCCACCAGAGCATATGCAAAAGTACTCCAAAAGCCGGGAGACGTCATAATTAAAATAAAAGCACCGACTTGACACAACAGAAAAAAAAAAATCATGAGACGTTTCGCCTTCCATCTTCAGTAGTTACAAAGCAAATGCAAGGTTCAACCTCAAGCCAACGCTATTTACCATGGGGCATTCTTTTGACTTTGGGCCGCTACGACCTTGGCGAGAGAGGATAGATGGGCACCCCAGAAACTTCTAGAATCGTTTGTCCGCAGGGTCACATCCGTGTGTAACAAAAACCGCGGCCCTCTCCACGAAGCTTATACAGACATTCCTGATAAATAGCGTTGATTTGAGGTTGAACCTTGCATTTGTTCTGTAACTACTGAAGATGCCTCCCACATGGGAGGCGAAACGGCTAATGAAATGGTTTTTTTCTTTTGTGTCAAGTCTGTGCTCTTCTTTTGATTACAACAGCATATAAACTGCGGGGTGGCACGACCAGATGCAAGAAGCAAACTAAATATACAAAAAAAAACATGCATAGGAGTAAAAGTAAAATGCTCAAAGTCAGATCAAATGTCCAAGCAAAGAATGCCATAAGGAAGAGGGAAATGATGACGTGAATTGGATAAATGATAGAGATTTTATTAATGTCTCAGCGGTTAAACATGCATCTTAATGGTATTCAGAATGTTAGGTTGAAGTAAGGCCAGTTTTATGTCATGCTGTGTTCAGCACTTCGTCGCTCCAGGTAAATTTGTTCTGCCGAAGAGACCTGTAGGCTAAACGTAAATACAGGAGAATTATGCAACACTACGCAATGAAGGTGCCTCACCAAGGAGTGAAAATTCGATAAGGATGAGAAAGCTCACTCAGGATAGGTTGACGAGTTCTGCCTTAATTTGATTCTGATCCTGCTCAGAATGAAGACTGAAAACCTGTGTTAGGTTTCTAGCCACTCGATAAGAAAAGATTATTCGGGTTTTGTTATACATTTTTAGTTTATACAAAAAACAAGAAATCAAACACAAAATGGCGGCCCTTGTGTTTTTTTTGTCTTTATAGCGAGGAAAGTTTATAACGTGAATATAATTTTTTCGTTTTCTATATTCTGGTAGCCTTTCATCCATTCAAAAATCTTTTTGCGAAGGTAAGAAAACAAATTATAATTAAATTTCTTCCTATTCTCTAAAATAGTTTATTTGCCTCCTTCTGCTAGATCATTTTGACAGATCGTGATATTGTACACAAAATGTTTTGGTTTTCCTGAACAAATTTCGTACAATAGTGTGCAGGCGTATGGAACTTCATTTGTCGTTGTGAGATAGCTTGTTGCAACCCAGACTTGAAATCCTGCAAAAAACAAAGGCAAGCTATTACATCCCCCGGAGCTCGTTTGGTTTTTCTTCTTAACTTTGGCGTTTTGCCGGAATATATCCTATGAGCTATCAAAAACAACTCATAATATTAACTATAATGAAATCTTAACACAAATATTCAAAGCACTCACAAAAATTGTGACATTAGCTGAGATGCAATATAGGTGACGATTGCTTTAGCAGATATTTTTAATCGAAATTTATTATGCATTCAGGCAAGAAACACAGCAGCACATACGTTTTAGTTTTTCTTTACGATTTGCGAAAAGAGTTAGCAGTCAAGTATCTCTCAGCACTTGCTTACTGTCATACTCTTAAAACATAAACGTTTTGAAGATGAAGAGTGACCATTTGATGAACCTTGTAGCTAGAAAAATATGACCATGTAGTTCACACCGAAAACAAAAGTTTGGATAGGCCTACTTGTTTTCACAGTGTTCTGAACGGTAGTCACAATCGCCTCTTTAATTATAGGGGGTATTCACTGGACGAAACGCTTTCAGGTCGTTGTTTCCAGCGCTATCTCAGAACTGCTTCAATAGACCGATCTCACCAGCCAGTTTGACCACGCTACCGCTGCCGCAATGCATCGAGGGAGCTTTAGTCTTTCAGCACGTGCGACAACCTCGCTGGAGCTCTGCGCGTGTGAAGCATGAGGCGGCACGAGCCGTCTTGCGCATTGCTGCCTGCCTCCTGCGAACTAAAGTTACGGCGGCGTCATGCATGCGCCGAACGCTTGGTGAGATCGGTCTATGTAGCGACTGCCAATCATCCGCAACATTAATTGGGTGGAATTCGCGTCTAACGCCCATAATTTTGCACACGATCGATGTGTTATTTGCGGACAACAAATGGTAGTTATAAAGATGTGTTGCATACCCTGAAAACAACTATGGCGTCTAGTGAATTCCCCCTATATACTGATATTTTGCTGCGTATACAAGGCATCCAATAATTTTGACTAGCATTGGTTATCTAACGGTCCAAACTACAAATAGCTCGCGTATTGTCAGCATGTGAAAGGCACTTGACTTATTTTGTTCTCATGGCGACGCTTAATGTTGAATGATGCTAATACATGCAAATGATTGCTTTTATTAAACTATGAAAATAACCTAAGGCGTTTTGATACTTCAGGCAACTTCACTGGGGGATTATATTTTGCTAAAAAAAGGCCAAAGGTGCCACTATCCGACCATGAGGAGTCCAAAGGTCTTAAAAATGCAAAGTTACGATGTGAAAAGTGCAGTCGTTATTTTTAAGTTGTATCGTTTGTGTAAATTTAGAACACGAAACGATTAATAAGAATAACTAAGTCTGGTGTGTTAAATCGCGGTTCAGAAGTTTTCGGAAAGTACAGGCAAACGAAGTGTATTTAATTTGCTCGTTTGTATCCACAAACACGCGTTCCTTCGTTATATTGGGTTATATTTTTTGAGGGTAACAATTTAAGCTGCAATTTGAATTTGTTCGCATAATGAAAATGTTATATATAAGAAATCAAATCAGAGATGCTGGGCACTGATCCTGTAAACAGACATACTCTATGAGAGTTTCCACAACATCTGGTAGTACAGCAATTAGAGTCTATAAATTGACCCAAGTTAAGGCGTCATTGTATGCAGTAGAATAATAGAGAACATAAAATTCTGTTTTTCGCTGTTGGCGTGCAACATAAACAATTAAAATGATGAAAGATTGGGCCAGTCGATACGGTAGCAGAATGGAAAACAGCGCGAAAAGACAACGAACGAAGAGCAGGAACTAGCAGGACCCAGTGCTGACTATCAACTGAATTAATGTTTGCTAGAAAGACATAAAGGACATTACTTCTTCGTTGATACACGCGTCGTGCGGGAATTATAGAGGACGCTTTGAAAACCTAGCGTGGCGCCACTAGCGGAGGAGCTGGCGTTCGTCGGTGAGACGCGTTGAACAGCCTGCTGTGTCCCTTTACGTGCGAAGCTGTGGCGGCGGAAGCGTGCACGGACGGACCTTTGGTTCCTCGAGCCCACATATTAAAGGCAAGCTGAAACACTTTCTTGGAAACAAACGAGTAAGAGGTGAATTATGACGTATCCCTATTCCTTGAATCTGAATATCACGTTTGTTTTGCCCGAAATTGTAACTAAACTCGAGAAACCACGAAACATCTACGGCCAGTCGTGACGTCATACTAGGATCTTTCGGCTGCCAAGAGCGTGTCGCTCGTGTGGACAGCGCGTGCAATTGCAAGCTTGCCAGGTTCATTCCCCCGCACTGACGCCAGTCGTGACGTCTCTTTCTGACCTTTTCTGAAAATAGCGAGAGTGCGCGTGCATAGCTTTGACAGGCGTTGAAGATACGCGAGAGCGGAGATTCCGAAAACTCTAAATATGACGTCACGTCCTGGGAATAAGGGGCTGCAGCGGTTCTTTGAAAAATAATTTCTGCAGCCTCCGTGCACCAAACTGAAAAATAATCTCGGTATTCGTGATTCTGGAGGCCAAATCAAGACGATCTAAGTGTTTTTGATTTTCTTTTTTTAAAGTTAGAAGCACTCCAGTTTTCCTTTAGGGGTGACGTTGCATAAGGGCTGGGCAGACCCTAAATAGGTCATCTAGTTGTTCTCCGCTTCTTATATATCCCAGAAAATAAATGAAACATCTATCAAACACATTGCAGGCTGCCTTCCGACGATCAATCACTATGCAAGCTGGCTTCCGACGAGAATACTTTCCGGCTTCTAGGATGTGCAACTACTGCATTTTTCCAAAAAATCGACGAGGCGCTGATATGTTGAAATTAGACTACCACGAATCCAATAAAGTCAGGGTGGAAATTAAGATCGAAATACTTTAAATCGTTAAATTGAGCCTCACCAATTTCACTATGATGATTTTCCACAAGAGCACCTTTCTCACAAAACTCATTTCCCGAAACGCTAATATTACAGATAAGTGTTTATTATTGTTTTCTGTAATTTGATACTGTCCATATACATTTATTTTGTTTTTAATAAATATATTGAAAGCCGCTTACAACTCTCTGTAACACCGAATTAGAGCGCAGCTCTTGAGGAGGATGAGGGAAGGGTACTGAAGGGAGGGTATAGCCCTCCTTACTTCCTCATCCTGCCTGCTACTCCACCCTCCGAGTGGCGTCGTCGCCGCCTCACAAGGGTCACGTGACTTCACGGGAGTCACGTGACCCCTGTGGCGTCACGTGATCCCCCTGAGGTCACGTGACGATGGTGATGACGATGATGATGACGTCATCACGATGACTTTTTGTCATCGTCATCTTCACTGATGACGTCATCGTCATCGTCACTGATGACGTCATCAGTGACGTCACCAGTGACGTCACGCGTCCCATAATGCACCGCGCGGTTACGCCTACTGCGACGGCGACGTCGTTTAATCCGGAAATGGGCGCCTAAGAGTTGCGCTCTAAAAATAATGAACCAAAATGTATAACAGTCTGAACACGAGAAAAATGCTGTGTTCTACTACGCTAATCGGAGAGGATGAGGTTCGTTTCTATCTTCCACTCCTTTCGTCAGTTCACGTGGAATCTTATGCAGGGATATTAGAATGCTAAGGAAACAAACAAAAACTTGTATGCGTGCGCGCACACACATGCAGACCAACAAAGAAAGTCAATGAGGGAGACAGGCACAAACCGATCTAATTATACATGTGAGGTTAACCAACCTTACATCGGGCAGTATATGCGTTTTGTCTTACACGACGAGCTTGCTGGTTTTTTTATATAATGCCACCGCCTTGCGCACTTTAAAAGCGGAAGTTAAAAGTCACTGTCGATAATTGGGTTCTGTATGTGTTTATACAGCCTAGAACTTGGTCTGCCTCAACGGGCGACGAGTCTCCCAGCTGTAGATGAGCTATTTAGCCAGTGCGGTACAACCGCTAGCCTGGGGTCTTTAACGTGCACCACGCAGTAGTGATACACGACCGCACGCCGGTACGATGCTCATCCAGATTGAAACGGGCAAGGGTGGGGATTGAGCCCAGGATCCTGGGTTTCTGCAGGACGAGCTTTCGCCCCACGTGCTCCGAGCTGGTGTGCGCTAGCCGACTCGGCCAACGATCCCCCCTCACTGTCGATAAACAATTTGCGGACCATAGTGAAGTGCAAAAAACATAATTTTACGTCCTTGAATTCCCTTTTTTTTTATTCTCACTTTTGGTGCACCTGAGAGTTCTTTAATAATTTGTTCGGAACCGGCCTCAAGAAATGGCAACCGTGTTCACGAAACCGATAGAAAACAATTTGGCAGGAAGGAGCACTTTCTTCGGGGTTTTTATATAAACATCGGCGTTATTCTTATTTTGTTTCGCTCAGGTATTACAGAAAATAAAGTTTTATCACTAACTAAACAAATCAAGCTCATTTTGTTTTAGAACGACGAGGTTTATATCAAGAAAATATTTTGAGTAAAACTGCTCTTGACGATATAATTATATTTACAGGTAAATTTTCTTTTACTCTAATTTCAGTAATTGGGCGGATTGAAGAAAATATGTTTCGTGTTTAAAAGAACTTGAGAAAAACAAATGACTTTTTTAGGTAAAGTTATATTAAGAATAATAATAATAACGTATATATGTAGATACGAAAGAGGGTGCACAGACGCTGCAGTTTAAGGATGGAAAATATAAAAAAAGTCAATTCGATAATAAAAACAGGAATAAACTAAACCACGAAGTAGGTGAACAAGTAAACCATTGAAACTATATTAAATATATTATAAACATTTATATACATATAATATTATATGCCATCATTCAACTGGTGTGTCGGTGCACCATTCTTCGTACCCATATATTTCTCGGCAGCATCTGTACTGCTTTTCCCCGTTACACACACACAGAAATATACCGGGTAATTTTTTTTTTTTAATTGGAACAGGTTTATTACGAAAATACCGTAAAAGATGCACTAATACGGATTGTGTAGGTGAGTTATACGGTCAGGGGGACATTATGTGGGTGGGTAATATTTGCGATAAGTCCTGTAAGAACAGGCGACAACATTGCACCAGGCGGAACGTTTGTATAAATCAACGCCTAAAAAATAATGTGCCTGAAATACATAAGCTGACGACCCTTCCTTAGATACGCCCTGTACGAAGCAACCACTAATAATAGCATGCGTTTTATGCCCCGTAATCGCTCAAAACACAGTTATATCTGAATGTTCCCTTTTATATCGCACGACTTCTGCGAAATCGTCTAGAATTTCAGATGTTCTTCCTTAGATCGCAGTATGGCCATGAAATGTCAACGAAAAATGATATGTTCCAACCGCAAGGCATTCATTATCTTATCGTATTATTTATCTTTGAAGTGACTGCTTTTTTTCACCCGGCACACACTCCGCTTTGGCGGGAGTTTGCGCGAGGCTTAAAAGTTAGAGGTGAATACGCCACTTGAAGAAACATAAATGAACTAGAAGCGGCTTTCGCAAATTTATGGCCAGGGCATGTGGGAAGAGGGGTGGTGTGTTTTATATTTGATTTGACTAAAGAAGAAAGACATTTATTTGATTGTTTAAATTATGTTTTTTTTCTGTTTTAATTGAGTTGTACCACTTATATTACACTCATTTGATCAAAAGCAATTTCGTCATTTTGTTTTGAACTCGCCTACTGCCTGCTTGCAACGCCATATGTGAAGAAAGGCAATTTCGAAGCCAGAGAGGAGGTTGGTCAAAAAGGAAAGCAGACTGAAACTGCCATACTCAAAGGTCGATTGTCCAGTTTTTCCGAGTTTCATCGTACTTTTTCTTAGATTCACATTTCTTACTTTGCGTGCCGTCCGAATTTTTCTTCAGGAAGTAAAGACTGCATGCCATACTGGTCCGGAAAGTTCATCGACACGTACGGTGGGGACGAAACGTCTTTCGAGGGCATCCCTCGAACGAAAGGGGCACTGCATAACCGCGAGTATGGGATGGTATTTCGGTTAATCCTATCGGCGCTAATATATTTTGGTGTTACTGGCAAAAAAACAAACAGCGCGCAAAGCGGCAGTGTACAATTTGTCAGCCTATGCGGAAACAGCGGCAGATACGATCGGAAGACCAAATTTGTACGACGCGGGTTCATCGTTGTCGCTGCCCCACAATCAATGTTGAGTTGAAAAAAAAAGAACTAATAAATCTTGTCCCCATGAGACATGGCGCATAACTATTAGAGCACTTAACGACGCAGCGGTTCATACTGTCAAAGCAGCGCAACCGCAGTGCAACGGCTTCAATCTGTGCCGAGGTACGCGGCGTGGTTTTGTTTCTCTGGGGTGCTCACAGCCTACCTTCGGTAACGGCCGCGCGGCGGCGCGCCGGTCACGTCACACGGAGTGTGTAATCGACATTTTCAATCTTTAACGAGAATACAAAACAAACACTCGACCTCAGACGCTTCCTATCCTATAGAACCAATAAGGCTCACTGTCCAGCAAGTTTATGGACGGTTGGCTGACACGTGATACTCCCCTATTTTGTTTCATTTTATACACCTCAACTATTTCTCTAGAGGGTTAGTCAATATGTGCGAACAAAAGGGTTGTGTCACCAAACCTAAGTTAACACGCGCAGCCTCTGCAGTGCAGTACCAGGTGTCAGTACCCGCACTCCTTTTAAGAACTTTGGTTTTCAAGTAACACATTAGGCTACATAGAAAGTTACAGAATCATCTAACATATTACACAAGCAATGCTTACCGAACATAAGTGACCGTGCGAGGACACAGTGATTATCGTTGTATATAACCTCTAAAGTTGCTAATGGTGGTCCGACTTTTAGTTCTCCTAGTAGAAACCGAGAAAACATTAAACTATAGGCCATTCACTTTTGTACAAAAATATGTTATATACTGTAAACGACTTCATCTTTGCGAAAACCTAATTTTCGAGAATTTCGCGAATCGCCTACGATTCACGCAAAATGGTTTCCGCGAGTAATTCCGGTAAAATGTAAACACGTTGAACTCTATATTGAGATCCCACCGAGTCGCGAAAATTAGAACCCGCGAATTATTTGACAACTTCAGCTTTGACCTAAATAGCGAAATATTGAGCCCGCGAAAAACAAGTCGTTTGCAGTATCTTGAATTATTAGCAATAAACTGGCGACGAGAGTATTCACGGTTTTCCCGATTTTAATGTAGTTTCGCTTGGAAAACAGTTTAATTGGTTACGATTAACTGGGTGCAAGTGTGCTATGCAAATTTACGCAGCTTGAAACAATGCATTGCGGCAAGAGAAATCGCCTTTGGACGACCATAGTTGGTCGTCCAAAAGCGACCAACTATGGTCGTCCACTGAAAGCCGAAATTTGCGGCACGTGTTGAGAATGGTTAGTTGCCCCGCAGGGGGTTTGAAAATACCACCCGCTATTGCTTGGTAGGAGTAACATTGTCGCACTATGGACGTCTCTTGGAACTTTACTAGAACAGTATTGTAGTGCGCTGCCTTCATATTTGTTTTCAGCAATGACACGATCCAATGATCAAAATCTGTGTTTCCCGATAAAACTTTGAGATGCAAGATAACAGAAAAATTAGGTTAACGATCTATTTAGATGACATGCTGGTTTAAATTTGCATGAAAAATTCAGGCATCATGGGAATACACTTACCGGAATAAAATTCGATGGTGTTATCAGAGATATATGAATTCCACTTATGAAGTGTGGAGGCGACAACGGTCCCGTGTACTCTGAAAGATAAAAAAATTACTCAAAGGCAAGCTTTTATTAGCCCTTGACTACGTGTGATTTCGATGGTTTTGAAACATTATTTTTAGCGAAGTTTCGAACTTCAGATAACACTTCACAAGGCTCCCGACCTAATATATTCTTCGCAAGTCAAACAATACTCAAATGTCTAGCCAGCCACTAAAGTCACCAAGTCAAGAAACACGGGACGTGGTTTAATTATATGTGAGTGCTTTTAGCTTCGTGATTCGTTCTTATTGGCTAATGCCGCATCACTAGTGACTGCGGAGGAACAATAAAATGATTGTGAATCGCCACGTCCTGCGTTTTTATAGCTGTCGTTGACTACGGTCATAAATGGGAAAGCCTACCAGCTTACCAAGACCAGTGAAGACGATTTGACGTTTTTCGAGATGGTCTATGTCATGAGAGCGAAGTCATTGACGGTCATTGACGGTTTAAAAAGCGCAAGACATGGCTGATTATATTAAGGCTTTCGTCTTCGGGATTCGCATGGTGAAACGTCTGGCAGCGGCCATGACGTTTTACCATGCTCGCCTCGGTAGAACAATACCTTATTGTTTAGGTCTTAACGCATTTTCATCCTCGCCGTTTGTCGAGGTCCTTCCGTTGACTGCTCAATTGGTTCCCCCAAGTGTTTTTCGGGAACGTATACGTTCCAGATGTCTTAGAGTGCAACGTTCACGCAATACCAAAGAACCATGCGGCTTTGTAGACTTTACAAGGTGGTTGAAATTGAAGCATATATGCGATTATGAAACACCTGTATATGACCGTCTAGAGTTCCGCTTGCGACTACAACATTTGAGTGTTTTACAGTGGAGCTTTTAAGGGCTAGTTTCCCCAAGGTCGTGTCCGTCCGAAAAGAAATGTCGACACAACACTGGTTGCCGCCGTCATTCATAGATGGCGGTAGCTGTCCAGAGTGTTGTGTTTGCCGGTTGTTTGCTTGCCGCCGTCGCTCATAGATCGCGGCAACCTTTCCAGCCTTTGCACTCTGGCTTGCCGACTTGCACCCGGTCATTACTTCATTCCCACCATAGTACAGCTTCGCTGGTCTTCCTTCTTCACCAGAGTGGAAAGGCTGAAAGTTTTATAGAGTCAAATATACACCATCACCTTGGTTGAGACGCATAAAACAAATTGAATATCTGCGAAACAGCCTTAATTGTGCACCTTAATACTCAGCGCCTAAAATAAAGATGTGACCAAGGACTATAGCTGAAAGGTCTAGTCGGGAGGAAATAGAATTTGAAGTGCTAAGTGCTGCAACCCGTAGCTTCTTTTTCTTGGCTTCTACTCACATTTATTTTGTTGCCAATAACACAGGGGTAAGTTTCTTAAATATAGAATAATGTATGGGCAGGCGTTAACTGTGTCGCAGTGTGTTCAAACAGAAGAGTTACTAAAGCTCTCAACGCTTCAAGAAGCACAAAATTGTAATGAGTCATTTATTCGATACCCCAGACCTCTCTGGACTGAATGTATGCTATTATTCAGACTTCCATTTATTTACTTTGAACACAGGTCGGCCGGCATGTTTACACAGTTTAAGAGGGCTGTGAAACATCGGCAGATATATTAACGAATTGTGTGCTAATAATTAATAGATTGCTTTTAGAGTGTATTACACTCAGGGTAAAATAAAAACCAAACACTTCAAACGAGCAGATATGTGTTCAGGAATAATGCACGAGTAAAATATATGACGTATTTACTGCACAAAATCACACTCACATAAAAAGTGGTCTATATAATCTTCTTTCTGAAAATATGATGTGCAGTCACGGACGATATGAAAAAGCGCAGGTAAGCGCGTGGCCTATGGGGTCTGCCGTGCTATCCACGAGAAGAAAACTCCACCATCATCGAGGTTCCCGTAGACGTTCCGTTTTGATGATCACTTCCCGCTTGACCAGCTGTTGCTGGGGCAATGCTGCTTTCCCCGACGATGCGTATCGCGAGAAAAGGCAAATCAAGCGTGGCTTAATGCGCCGGGTCGGCACGTTCAGCAATAATTTTGGGGGTGTCTGATAACCCCCAAACACCCTACCCCCTATTCCCCCCCAAGTTGAAAAAACTTTCCTGGCAACGCCACTGTTATACAGGAAAACTAGATATCGCGGACGCAACAATCATATAACAATCGTAAAAAATTCGGATGAATCGTTTCTGAACATTTACTAATATTTCTTTACTCATAACACCAATATGGTTCCGGAGAACAGAGGAAAAATCCAACTTGGATTAGATTAGCGAGAGTTATAATCGTAAAGTACATGTTGACATGAAGAACTCACGGGTAATTCTAAAAGGTTATTTATAAAATAACCTTTCTAAAGTTTATTCTATTAAATTTTGTTAAATTCAAAATATAAACTATGCATTTTATCTCTGATGTAGTTTTGGTCTCACCTTATTGATTCTTGCTCTTCGAGCTCATTGTACTCGTAGGCGACTGAAGCCAACCAAGACCTCCGGTCAACCGTAATATTTGTTGTACGTAAGCATTGCATCTCTAGACCAGGCTTCGGTGTTTCAGATTGAAAAACCAGGGAATACAGAGGGGCCTTGGCTGTGAGGACCTACGAAAATTGTCAAGACCTTAAAAAGCACTTGAGTGTGTAAGAATTCTCTAAACAAAAATGCACGTCTACGTTCTCGTTGAGTATGTAGTGAACATATGGTTACGTTTTTAAGTTAAAATATGACGTCCATAATCAAATTAGAACATATTAAGCCGCTACAATAATTTACGTAGTGTATGCAGCGAATGGCGAGGGACACAGGCCTTTATATTTCGTAAACGCAACCGATTAAAAAGCATGAGCATGTCGTTTGGCTTGTTCAACGATGTTAAACAACGACCTGCGTTTAGACGTTATTCACCGGTTGTAGTTTCAACTGTAAACGGAGATTGTAGTTAAAAATCATGCCCTTTTTATGCCTCGTAACCTTGCAGACAATCACCACGCAAGAATTTCAGAACGAGTACCTAGAAGCATTACAAAAATACTAGGGTCTCAGTAAAGTATCAGATTAGATAGTTTTCTAAAAAAAAGTTTAATAGGCGTTTTCAGCAATCCGAGTTTGTAAGCGTATGGGTACTGCAAATCATGACCCTTGACATCATGATTTCGGTAATTCAAAACAAGGTGTGATCGGACACCACTTTAAGACTGACAAGCTATTCAATGTTTTGTCACTTTTTCTCGTTTTTAATGTCACGCTTTTTAAAATTATTACGGTGGGTTCTTCTTGCGATTCATTTGTACAGGTAAGCCCTTAATAGTTTATTTTAGATGCTCTGGCTTTTATTCGGGACCACAGAAAGCGGTTTTCTTAAATCAGAGCAATACGCAAAGCTAATTAGATATACGAATTTCAATGTAATTTTTGCGTCAGGTTTTTGCTGTACCTTGATAACATTGGTGGCGCGCCCTGGAGGCAGGAGAGAGAACCATAAGCCGACCTTTGCCACGACGGCTCTTCGGTGATGGCGCAGAGTTGTGCCAGCTGAAGTATTTCTATCGCTGCGATTATAGCATAGTGTCGGCTACTATAGTCACTGACAAGGTGGTAGCGGCGGTGCGCCTTTTATGAAACCCCGGCCTCCATCACGCGCTTCATGACTTCCGCCGTGCTTTGGCTGCTCGTGGAGGCTCGAGGCTCACGAGATGCCGAAGCACTGTCGAAGGTAGGAAGCCCGCGCAGGAGGAAGGAAAACTGAGACTCCTCCCGGCTGTTTTCATTGTGCCAGTGACTATACAAGAATTTTTAGCCTTGCTAAATATACATAGGGATCATTCCATTACCTCCAAGGCGTCGGGATATTTACCGAGACGTTCCGCGAACCATGTAGGTCTGCACTTCGAAGGCAGGACATCCTGGGAACACACCGTTAATGCCAACAGAAAAACTGCCACCAACGGCTTCATGTTTAAGACATGTCTCAAAATATCACCAGATGTATAAAACTACATCTCTCGATTTTTGCAACAGAAGCAATACATAAATGAATACGACAGCTGCGTATGTTCCGCCTGATTTTTTTTTTATTTTCGTTTTGTTCGTGGAATTGCGTTCACCCGCTATTGACGCACATTGTACATTGGACGCAGATGTTTTAGCTTCATATAAAAAAAGACATGGGAAGTAAATAACCAGCAGAATAATGACCCCAAGAGCCCTTCCTGCCACAACCGTGCATAAGAGGGAACTCTTTGCACTGAAGCTGTATTTAATTTTATCGAATTCTGAATCCGCACAGCAAAAACGTTCCCGCGTACTGTACCTGTACATTTCACACGTATCTTGCAGCAGATCCGTAAAAGCCGTAATCTTCTCATTTCTCAGATTTTTTTTGATTTTTTTTTTAAATTTTATTTGGAGGTTAAGATTTATTTGTTAAGCCCGTGTTACTTGCACCACGTGCAACTGGGTTAATCCGGCACCCTATCACGGTTTATTGAATTTCGTTAGAAAATAAATTTTGCCCCTATTTTTTGAGTCCACCAACTCATTAATTGTACTAAAGGCTGCTCAGTTTTATTATTTTATTTTGGGATGCTTTTTACTTAACATAATTTATTTAAGCGCTGCGAGACTGAGTTTGAGGCACCAAAACCGAACGTTTACAGTTAAAAAAAAAACCTCTAACAAAAATAAATCAGATATAATGATAGTGGGACAATAGGCATAGAAAGACAAATGGCGTGAGATGTTCGAGCAAAAGAAATACGAGTTGAGGCGATATATATTAAAACGTGTTATTCGTCGGTAAAAAAATATTGATAACCACATAAAACTTAAATTGAACTTGACTTCTGGCCTAGAAAAAAACAATTGAGGGTATTTTGATTCAAAATTTACAAAAAGTTTTGTGCTATGAAATTGACCTCTGGACAATTTGGTGCTTTCTATCTAATTGTGTTCTCTGTGCGCTTAGACAGTTGGAATTCAGTCAGCCCCGATAAGCGTCTGGTGCCACCGCTGTAAATTAGATATTTAGCCAGTGCAATTTCACTGCTGGCCTGGGGTTTTTAACGTGCACCACGAAGTAGGGATACACGACAGCACCCCGGTACAATGCTCATCTGGAAGGGAACGTGCACGTATGGAAATTCGACACACGGAAATTGAGCAATCACCAAATTCCTATCATAAACGATTCTCACGCGTAAACGCGTGCAAAGCTTTTACAGGTAGACACTTTTATATGGGCAGGAGATTTAGAAGGGTAATAAAAATGCTAAGATCCGGGAAATAACAAATGCTACATTAATGGTGCGTTCATTTGTGCCTTCTCAAAGTAACTTCGAGTCAAAGCGTATATTTAGCTAAAAATTTAGATAGCTCCACGATCCTTTTAGATCACAGAATGTTTTGTTTGAGAGCTCAATGAGTCGATTCATGACGTCGAGGCAATATCTGGTTTTCAACTTTCCAAAAGGAACAAACATCTGAAACACACATAAAAACAAAATTCCTAAATCGACAAACAGTGAACCAGACTGATCGGTCACTGATGAAAAATACGCCACCGACTTAAAGCGAAGCTGAAGAAGATCTTGAAAAACGCGAGTTAGAGGTAAATTCTAGCATATTTTTGACATGTGAATTTGAATATCGCCAAGTATTTTACCAAAACTCAATAATAAACGCGAAAAAAAAAACGTAAAACGATGCCACAGGGTGGGACGTCATGTTCAGCGGTTTCAACTGCCGTGCGCGCGCCACTTGCAGCGTTCTTGGCTGCTCGGATAAGGCTTGCGGAAGGCGCAGGAATGTTGAGATCTCTGTATAACACGTCACGATTTCCTCATCTCATAACAAAATAAGGAGGTGCTTCAGCGCTACTTTCAAAGCGCTGTTGTGGCTACTTGGCGCATCAGTATAAAATATAATTTTTATATTTGTTATTCGGAAGGCTAAATGAAGACTGTAGAAGAACTAGAGTTGGGCGAGTAGGTGAATGTTGAAAATCATGGTGTAAGGCGCAAAAAACAACGAACACAAGAGATAAAAACAGACATACAGGCGCCTGTATGTCTGTTTTCTCTCTTGTGTTCGTTGTTTTTAGCGCCTTGCACCATGATTTCCAAATGAAGACTATTTGGTGTTTTTCCTTATATGCAGAACCGCTGTAGTTTTCCTTTAATAATTCATAAACGTATTGATATAGGGCGTTAATTCTGTTCAGGATAGCAACCAAACATAGTTGCGCTCGTTTTTAAACGCCGCAAAACAAGTTTAAGGAATAGGTGTTTTTATACCTTTTGGGTTATTAAACAAAAACAATAAAAGTTTCTTGAATGTTTGTCAGAATTATTCTATTTTATACAGACATGGTACAGTCCTGTTGAGGCCAACTCTGAAAGGCGAGCTGAGGAATGGAAAGTGAAGGAAAGGGGGGGGGGGGGGGTTAGAGCGAGAACTTACCCTGGTCGGTAATCTTTTGCTCCAGCGGGTCAAATCGCCTCAAAGCAGAGACGGAGTGGGCCTTATAAGGGGAGGAGAGTTGGTTAGAGAATAACAATAACAGATATGACAAACAGTTAACTGCTATTCCCAGTGCCGCACCTTGAATTTGGCGAGGCTCTTGAACTCCAGGTCCTGACTCCGCGGTTCTTGCAGGACCACGCAATTCTAATTCGAAAATTCAAGGAACCAGACAAACTACGAACCATTGAGAGTTACCGTCAATTTGCTCGATATTGAGTGAACTAAAATATTTTCCCTAATATTCAACCAGTCATTTGGACAGATTCCCCATAGCAAGCATGCTTTTGACAAGCGTTTCAAATTGACAATGGTGCAATCCGCTATTCCGAACGAAATGTAGGGGGCGCGACGACCTTCGTTATCGATTCCCACTGCATCAATTTGGTGCATAGAAATTGACGATGGATAATAAAACGAATGCACGTATAAAACTAGCCACCAGACCTGCCGTTTCAGAGATAATGCGTTGATTACTCCAGGTTTGCAACCGATCATATTTCTTGCGCTATTGGTCATGAAGAGAGAAAGATGGTGTTTGAGTATGCATATGTGTGTGGGGGCAGGGAGGGGGGGATCTTTTCAGAAAGGCTGCCGGGGGCCGTATAATATTGCGTCGCGGGCGGTATTGGGCCCGCCGGCCGCCAGTTGCATACTCCTGCTTTAAATTAGCAGCAACTGAAACCTATAGTAACAATTCATTAAGGTCAGTAATTACTACCAAAGCACTTCCTCAAGATTTATTGAAGTTTGTATTGGTTCGTTGCGAAAATTGGGGTCCTAAAAATAGACATTTTACATAATCGAATTGGGAATGCTGCGCTAACAATAATCCTGCGTCTATTTCGCGCAGATTTCTGAAATATTTGAGTGAAACAATATATCGAGAGATTTTGCCGTAGGACTATGCCAAATTAACGTCTATATAATAATAAACTAAGTGAAAAAGTATTGAGCGTGTCGTGAGTATATGACACGTCTTGCTCGGCGTTTCACTGCAAACATCGCATGTCGTAAGCGCAGTGTTCAGTACATCATTTGTAACTTTAAATGGCGACGTGTTAATAAACAATATCCATTTTTAAACTATACAAACATCAATATTCAAAATCTCAAGTGTAAGGCTCCATTGAAATGCCGTCGTACCCGCAACAACCGACCCCTAGAAGAGGTTGGGCGTGGAACCGAGACATTTGAAGCAAACGTCGTCAATCGTTGCCATGTCGCAACTTGTTTTACAAAAAAGGAAAACCTACAACTTTAAAAAACAAACAAAAAAACAGTGATTTGACCTTTCAGACCCCTATCCTCGAGAATATTACGAAAAATGTATCATCCGTAATAAAAATAATAAAAAAGACTAAATAAAAACAACGTAACGGACTTCCTTTTTTTCTTTTAATTTTGCTACGTATGCATTATTCCAATAAATCTTTTTAACGTCAAACACCGGAATAGTGCTTTAGTGTGATGGTAGACGTCAAAATAGCAAATAACTATGGACATGTATTTCGTATGTAACGAATGATGTGTCTAAAGTAGTTTTGCAATTAGTTTGAACCTGGATGTCTAAGTAGTCACTACCTAAACAAAAAAGGCATCTCGAATCGTGGAATGTGAAGACCTTTCCGGTGACGTGTTTGATATTCGCGGGGGAGAGCAACACGGTAGATGCAGATTTACGACTTTGTGATTACGGGTAGAAAAGTAAAGGCACACAGGCCTGCAGAGCTGCAGGTCCCCAACAAAACAATGTTTCTGTAAGCTTGACAGTTTGTAACAAAAATGATTTCCGGTGTTTACAGATCCAGTGCCCATCACGCGATCTCCACAGCCCAGTGCGCATGTATCTGTCGTTGCAGGGACCAAGAAAATCACGCGTGATTCACGCGAACAATAATTACGCCACCGGCCAGAAACGATGTATCAAAGCCGTGTTCGTGAGATCCCCCCTTCACAGCTTAACTTTTTGCTCTCTTTCCGACATTTCCCTTCTCCTCCTTATTTTGTTAGCATCTCTGTTGTCTGCTTTTTTAATGCCTTACCTGGCTCAGTCAGCGAAAAAGCCGTTGGCAAAATCCTTCGTCAAAATCCGTGACTTGTCCATCACACACAAAAAAATAAACTGGTCACGTGACCAAACCAAAAAAATTGAAAGATATATCTGGTCGCGTGACCTCTCTGGTCACGAGACCAAACCGAAAAACAAAATAAAAGAAATCTCTCGTCACGTGATCTCTCCGGTTACGTGAGCACGAAACCATCTCCTGCCTGGTTTCAAACCTATGTTTTCTTGATCGTGGAACTAACGAACTGTCCGTAGCGGCAACATAACTCGGCCAAAGGTAATGCTCACGCATTCTCACATCATTAGAAAAAGCGTAAGTGCTTTTTTTATTTTTTTATGGTTTGTTTGTCCTTATTGCACTCCCCTGGCCTGTACGTATTTCGCACCAAGATTTGCAACGAGTCAAGATATCCAATATTAGACCTCTTGACGCGTTGGACCTCTTGACTCAAATTTTTTTTTTTTTTTTTTTTTTGGGGGGGGGGGGGGGGCGTCATTTTCGGGGTCCCTTATGTCAAAATCTTGCGGTGCATTTTGTCATAAGAGGTCATGCGGCAACTGGTCCATCTGTCACTATTGATTCGGGGTCCCGCCGTCCGGGACGAGCTTAACAGGTCTGGCTACACGGGCTTCGGCCGGTTTATGTATCCGCGTCTTCGGCTATTGGGAAGTTTGTCTTTGTCAATGCGCCGAGAAAATGAGGGAGAGGATGAGACGAGAGCACGGAGGAGCGTCAGAACGCCGAGTTCTGGTTGGAACGATTAGTGGGTAGACCTAAAGCCAGCTTCCTTTGTCTCCGGCACTCGTCGAACGCTTTAAAACGCGGAACGCAGACGTCTGGCGTTTAACTCTCGCATTCGAACGCCTTCGACGACTACAATGGAGACGAAGGCAGCTAGCTTTAGGTCTACCCCCTAATCCTTCCAACCAGGGCTCGGCCTTCTGATGTCTTCGCGCTCTCTCGTCTCATTGTCGCTCTCACTTTCTCTTTGCGTACGAGGATGTCTTCGGATTCCGAATGTAGGCACGCTTTTGTTTTTCTTGAGGGTTGGAGTCTTGTTGCCTTATCTTCGGTCACTGTAACTGTCTGGTCGGATGGCACATGCTTGCGCGAACTTGTGCGAGTGTTTCTGGCTCTGCGCTCTTGCGTCTGTATGTTGTACTTTGAAATGGCAAGGGAAGCTTTTCGCCGAATTTGGGAGTCTGAAGATTGCGAGGAGGGCATCCCAGAAGTACAGCGAGTGCGATGTATCATTTATGAGAAACGTTTGGGTATACAGAGAGGAAGAAGAAGAGACGCCGTTGGCCAATAGTTTGCATGGGAAACACCGAGGTGTCGAAGGAGGGAGACTTGAAGAGAGGAACATTTGAGTTGAAGAGCACCCAGAGATTTAGAGGAGATGGGGAGAGGCATTCAGATAATCAGTAAGATAGTGTCGGCCCCGGGGGGGGGGGGGGGGGGGGGGGGATTTCTCGACCTTGGCTTCCAGTGACTGAAAACGAGTGCCAGCTGAACCCTTATCGTCACGGATGGAACGTGGCTCATAGCTGGTCACTCACGCAACACTGGCGTTCAAGCTCCGCCCCGCGCTAACCTCCGGTAGCTGATCTGACAAAACTCCGGCACAACGGCTTCATTAAGGCCCATTCGCTCAGCAGCGTTCCAAATCTTACTCAACTTGGACCGAGTTAATATAAAGACACTGAACAGGAGCGGGGTTTGGAACGCCAATGTACGAAACATTTAATTTGATGTGCAATTGTATGCTGCGCGCCAAGATACTTCTTGAATGGTAGCCTAGCTTCGTGTGACTCACGGATGTTGTGGGGATTCACGGTCCTAACTCCGACGAAGGTTGTCAAACCAATATCACCTGGAAGACAAGGCCTCCTCATAACGTCGGCGTCACCAGAGACGGAGCGTTGCTAGACGCGTAACAGTTTCATACGCGAAAGTTTTTATTATCCATTACCAATAAACAACTTGTTTTTCCTCGGGATCTCCGAGATCACCCAGAGGACCAATTTACAGAATACTGAATGTAGATTGTGCCCTGTACTGATAAATTAAAAATTCCACTTTAATTCATTTGCCACCTGCAATACATACGCGCACTTTCTCAGAGGTCTCCAAGGCACTTGAGACTCCTATTATTGATTTTATTCACAAATAAGCACGATACATACGTTTGGTAGCAAGCTGCAATAGCCATTCGAATTCGCTGCTAGAACGGAGGGCCGCTTTGTTTCCGCTGAGGCCACATGCCGACCGTTGCCAAGCGTCCTCACCATTCTCAGTGACTAAACAGGAACTCCAACAATTGGTGCTACAACTTATTGTGCGGCAGACAATCTGGAGTTTCACCACAACTCATGTATTCCAGTTATAGGTTCCGCGTAAAAAATCAAATTAAAAAAGATGTATAATAAAAATTTACTACCTAGTGAAGATTATATCACAGACATATAGGAATACCACATATTTTATTTTCTATAGCTCGGTACGCGTAAAAACATGGCATTTTTTCCAGTCGTACGAAAGAGTTTTGTTTTGGTCGGCCATCAAATCATACGCCAAGGAACATCCATATGGTACATCGTTGTGTTTTTTCAAGTAACCTTCCGTTACCCAAACTTGAATCCCTGGAATATAGCCGAAAAGAAAACGTCTTTTTGAAGTCCCAACTTTTTTGAAATTTTTCACGCATGCGACACTATATATCTGCGATTTCGTGATTGTTTATTTGTTGTGCGTCCTCCTTTCCACGAAAATGCCAGGAAATTCCAGAGCTTGAGATATACATGTACTGTGGTTTAGTTTTGAATTGTACTTAGTTCGTTTGAATACTTGACTAACTCCAACGCACTGTCATGGTGAACCTGCAGCGAGTTTCTAAGCTTGAAATCGGAGCTCGGAAATTGTTTTGAATTTTGTTTAACTTTGTCCCCTATATAATTGCCTGGTCCCCTAGTTTAATCACGTAAATATGCAAATTGGAATATTTTTATGTGCGCATTGCCTCCAGGTGGTCCCAACTGTCCATTTCATCTCCCTATCTTCTTTACCACTTGTTTCCCCAGTATAACTGATAAAACGTAGCAACATTGAGTTTATGCCAGTCTGGAAACTCTGGAAACTTTGTATGACTGCTTCTGTTTCAGTAGAACGAGTCGATGCGGGGCGGCGTAGCCGGTGCCTTCGTTGCGGTACTGCGTGCTTTGTTTGCTCTACCGGCTTATATTGTGATGCTGAAAGCCTGACGCTCGAGTTTTATTTTAAAGTTATATATGCAAAGTCCACCCGAGGTTTGTTCTGCCTTGGGAACATCACATAGGTAACATAGATTAATTTGGCAAAGGTAATAAATGTAGCGTGATTAAAAAACAAAATAACATATATATATATATATATATATATATATATATATATATATATATATGTACATATATATATACATATCATTTCAAGGACGGCGGGATGACGGCTACAACCGTCGTCCCGCCGTCCTTGGAACTTGGCCCCGACCGTCAAGCATCTTCACCCGGATAAGAACTGCCCTACGCTTCTCTCTCACGAAAGCTCCAACCGCCAACCCGCCGAAATTCGGACTCGACCGTAGCATTGTATAAATACCGCCCGCGTTCATCTGTAAAAGTTCTTCCTGACGAAGGCCGGACTCCGGCCGAAACGTCGAAGATTAAATCCTCCGTTGTTGCTGTTTTCACTAAGAGTTTTTTCTTCTCAGTTATATATATATATATATATATATATATATATATATATCAGGGTGTCGAACCGGAACCGAACCGAACCGAAAACCGGAACCGAACCAGTATTTTTTCCGGAACTGAACCCGAAACCGAACCGTTATATTGTTATCGCGATGAACCCGAACCGGAATTGAACCGGAAAAAAATAACGGTTACCGGCTCATGTCAAAACGGTTCGGCCACGCGCTGTTGACAATGAATGTGCTATCAATGCCATTTGTTTTTTAAGTGCCGTCAACTGACACACACCTCGCTTACATATTTTTATTCTCCACTCAGTCTTAGGAATATAAACGCTGCATCCATGAATCTTGACAAACGCTGCATCCATGAATCTTCACATAGGAACCAGTATTGCGCTGGCCGCGGCTTGCACGGAAAAAAAAAATTGAAAGGCTGTGCAAAAAAAAAAAAAAAAAAAAATCGCGTCACGGGATTTCATTTTCCTACAATCTCGTAAATCCTAAATGCTGCTGTGTGCTCATTTCATAACACGTTTCTAGAACGCGCGAGTTCTTGAAGCTTGCTTCCATCGGAATGAGAAAAGAAAAGGCTGTGGGGTTTGATAATAATGCATCTGGTTTCGTATAGGCACTTAGAAGCTAACATATTTGTGAGACAGCGAACTCTTCTATTTGAATATTTATCCTATTACGTCCTTCTGGCGTTGCCTTCGGTGAAGTGTTTTTCATATTCCGAATCTTGTTTAATGAAAACTTCTTTAAGGGTCTAATTTGAGTTAGCGAAGGCTAGTTCAAATAAAGAAAGCTGTATTTTCTCCCCACTGTTCCTTCAATTGCTTACACGCCGAGGTGGCGGGATAGTTAGCGAGTTCTACTTGTAAGTGGGTTTGTAAGGAGGTCGCGGATTTTACAGCTACTGCGTCGGACCCAATTAAATGAAGTCCGAATGCGTAAACGTCGGTGAGGTAACCTTTGAGTGCGCATAAAGAAACCATTCCTGGTAGAAATCCCTGAGCCTTACACTACGATGTATCCCGTTTCGTATGTGCTGATTTCAGAAGTTTTATTTATAATTTATTTTGATGTTGCAATTTGTCATTTATAATTTCCGAACCGGTTCGCGGATCAAATTAATCGAACCGGAACTGAACCGGAACAAAATAAATTTACCTGAACCTGAACCGTAACCGAACCCGTATTTTTTTCGGTTCGACACACTGATATATATATATATATATATATATATATATATATATATATATATATATATATATATATATATATATATATATATATATATTATTTATATATTAGAATTACATTGACTAGTATCTGTATAATCTGACATGAAGGAAAAGTAGAATTATATAAAGTGACAAAAGTTTTAATGCATCGTAAGCCCCGTCGTTCTTAAACTGTACATGCTTACTGAAAGACCACTCATAAGGTTGTAAGAGTTTAGCCTCTGCTACGCCTCTCAACAAAACCTACGACCTTTAAGGTAACACGAGCAATTTTGTCGTAGACTATCTTGTTTGTTGTCCAAAATGCAGCAAATTAGTTACCCAAGAATGCCGATTTTAGAACTGCGCAGTATTCGTAATCCGTGAAAAGCAATTGATAAGTCTGTTGTTGTCTTTTTTCACCTGTGTGAATAAATGTAAAGATTATGTTCCTTTGACCGGTGACACAGATATAACTTGTTTAACTTTAATAGTTTGAAAATTGTACTTACGTAATTCTCTGGTGGGTTGTGCTTTTTTATTTGCCGCTGGCGTTGAAGTGACTGCAACAAACAAATTCCGGACTCGGTGACTTCTGAACATATACAGGTGTTTGAAATACCCAAGCTCGACCTAAAATGGGCCATACAAATCAGCGCCTGCACTTTGCAATCTGAACTTTTCGTCAGCGGTATTTCACAGGTCGGTTCTATCTTGTAAAATTACAAAGCGTAGCTCACTTTCTGTAAGACACACGACCACAAAAAGTCCGAGGACACCTAAGTACTTCTTATGAGTTGTGAATGCGAAAGCATGAATGTCGTTCTTCCGCTCCTTTAGTTCGTCTGCGGCGTAGTGGCGTAGCCGGCCACATTTCGCCGGCAGACGGCCGGGCGCGCGCCTTCGTGAAGTAGCCGCGCCGAGCTCGGCCGTGCGACCGCACTGGAGTCTGCCCGGACGGGCTCCGGCTCTGCCGCCCCGGCTCCCTCCTCTAACCGGCGGTGCGCCGCTGCGTGCGCTGCGCCGCCATAAAAAGGGCTTCGCTGGTGGCTTTTTTTTTTTTTTTTTTTTAATTACACCGCACGAGAGCCAGTGGGAGCCTCGTTCCTTTATGATGTGCGATACCCAATGGAAGCCTAATCCATCAGAAATCGGCTTCACTTGGGAAAGGGGATTTCAGGTGCTGTTTGGCCAACGTTTCACTTGGTTTCAAAGCTGATGACGTCGGTTCGCTTCATGAGACAGTTAATGCTTTCGCATTAGAACTTGCCAGGGTCAAAGGTGAATGGCGCCGCAGACGACCGATTTGAGTGGTGGGGCGCGTTTGGCGCACGTATTGATAAATATCTCTATCCTTTTTTCGAGACTGCTCGCGACGAACGTGGTTTTTAAAATGAAGATAATTCTTATTTAACGTACCTTTGGTTTCAAAATAAACGCGGACTATAATAGGAAAACTTGATGTAACAGAAATAAAAGAAAACGCGGTCGCATAGTGACGGCAGCAATGGTGCTGTCTCCGCCGACATATTTCGTCTGCGTGTCGTCTGCTTACTTTCGCTGGTCGGCTACACCTTGCGACGCTGCTCAAGACGCCATCTATCAATACGTGCGCCAAACGGGACTCGCCACTCGACTCTGTCGTCTGCGTCGCCGTCCGTTGCTGACCCGGCCAAGTTTTTTGGCCCTATATTTTACAGAAAGAGCTACGCTTTGTAATTTTGCATAATAATACCGACTTGGGAAATACACCTTTGACGAAAAGTTTACATTGCTACCTGCAGGCGACGAATTTTACAACCCATTTTAGTCCAAGCCTGGGTATTTCGGACACCCTATATATTAAATCCGAAACTTAACTGAAGTCCTAAATCTTTCAATGTCCCTTTATTTGTTTGCACCACCCGAGACATAAGAACCGTTACGTACAACTTTGCGAATTCACATTAGTCTAATAAGTTTTTCAATATTCTAATTAATTTTAATAATACTAAATCCTTAGAAATCCTCCAGATTTGTGTGGGGCGGTGCCAGTTCGGCAAAATGATTGTTTTTTTTTTTGGTTTAGTAGCGAAATGCACTGCCTATTATTTGGGAATATATTGTCTTTATTCTGCAGTATGGGAGCAAATTTATTTAATTCGTTAAAGGAATGACTCATATGTGGCTCTTCAAATAATTTTAAAAATTATTTTATGTTGGGTAAATATTTTTCTTGACAATATCCGGCCTTTGAAAGTAAACTTTTGCTGTTATTATATTTTTGTCTAAAAATTACAACTATCAAATCTCTTGCAAACGTGTCTCTATGCCTTAAAGCAGGACACGTTAAATAAGGTAATCATCCAATGAAAGTTTTAGCGTTGCCCGTAAGGAGTAGAACTTTTTACAACAAATTAAGCAATGAAATGTGAAGTAAATGACCACGCTTCTTCTTGCTAACGACCACTTCTGACACTCCTGGATACGTCGTCAGCAGCATATGGCAGACTGTCTTCTTTCTGTACGTGGTATACCGACTTTACTGAGAAGCCAACACATCGCGAGAGTTTTTGTTTTGCTCTATAACGAGCATGAAAAAGAAACAAAAATATGTTAATTGTTTTCACCTTGATACCAAACTTCTGGTACACAAAGGTTTGAAACCACTCAATAGAGTTAAGTCCGCATACGTACTACGTATCTTTCTTGTCAATTTCTGAATAATTTCTGATTATAAAGCCAAGTGCTTGGACACCGTGCTCCTCAAATAATAAAATTTGTTTTTGTATTTTCTGTATCATTAAAAAGACAATAAAAACAGGGATGTGCGAGGGGAGTGAAGCTGAATGTTTTAGTTTCCCCATAAAAAAACCTCTTAAGAATTTTTTTTCGTTGCTGGTTTCACACTAGTTATTTCATCATGCGTCTACTTTAAAACAGAAAAAAAGGAAACTTACCTTGACGTTTTGCATAAAGAGATTAACAAATTATGCGTCATATGTTCGAATCGATTGGTTTTGCCCCATTTGACTTCTAAGCTTTATTCAGATTTAGGAGTTGGTGCAACTATGCTTCGCGTTTTTACGTGACCTGGAGCCACAATGGGTCACGTGGCCCTATAAGCACATTACTTGCCGTCAGGTCCAGCACAAAACCACGTAGCGCGATGCCTTGGTTCACGTCGTGGTGTCCCGTGACGTCGTGCCAAGTGATTTCACAGTGCCGTGTGACACCAATACGTGAAGGAGTCAGATTATACTTCAACGTCTGGGTGTCACGTCGTGGTGTCAGGGGACGTCATATTTCGTCACAGTGTCACTTGAAATCTTAATGGCATTGTTACGCCGTGGTTTCACATGACGTGCCGTCAGTGTCACCTGACGTTACGATGCCACGAGACTGTGACGTCACGACGCGTTACGTGATGCAGTGTCACGTGATGTCATGACAGGTCAGTCAAGTTTTCTTGTAAGATTTAGATCAGGCGATTTACCAGTGTTATCTGGTTTTTACGACTCTTTCTGAAATTCTAGTCTTGGAAAGCAACCCAGGAATCTATTCTACGAGGGCGAATCAGAAAGTTTTTTCCCCTATTTTTTTATTAGCCAAAATAACGTACATACAGGTCATTACACAAATACGAACTATTCTACGTACCTTACATAATTTTTCAACATAGTTTCCACACCGGTTCAGACATTTGTTCCATCTCAGCACTAAATTTGAGATGCCCTGCGGTGGAATTCGTCCGGCTACTGTGGAACCACCGTCAGACTGCTGTCTTGGCTTCAGCGTTGCACGTGAATCGCTGTCCTGCCAGGAACTTCATAAGTGGACCAAAAACGTTGAAATCTCTAGGGGCGAGGTCCGGACTGTGTGGTGGGTGGTTCAGACTTTCCCCGTGAAATGACCACAGATTGTCGGAGGTTCTGAATGCCACATGTGGCCTCGCATTGTCGTGGAGGATACCCAGGTTGTCCACGTCGAGAGTCCCTCGGCGCTTTCGCCTGATGTCAGCGAGCAGACGTGACAATGTGGAACAATAACTGTCGGCATTGATGGTTGCACCTTGTGGCATGAAATACAACAGGAGCGGTCTACGGCGATCCCAGAAGGCCGCTAATATCACTTTCCCAACAGATGACACTTAACAATTTTTTTTTTGTCACAGGCGAACCCGGATGTTTCAAGACCATGCTCTGCTGCTTAAATTCCGGCGTGAAATGCAGTATCCACATTCCATCGCCAGTAACAGTGCGGTACAGGAAACTTTCACCCTCTTCGGCATACCGTTGCGGATGATTCAGTGAAGCAATCATTCGCTTGCCTCTCATCATGTCATCCAACTGCTTAGGCACTCACCGACATGAAACCTTCCGGTACCCTAAGGGCCCTTGAACAATGTCGTAAACATTCTCATACAAAATGCCAAGCCCCTGGGAAATGTCCTTGAGGTGCACACGCCGATCCGCTTTCACACTTGGATCCACCTGGGAAATGTCAGTCAGCGACAATCCCGACCTCTCCAAGCGCTTATTGTCATACAAGTCTTCACGGCCTTGTGCAAACTCACACCACCACCACCTCACATTTCTCAAAGCGAGATACCTTTCCCCATACGAGGACTACATTTCCCTACGGATTTCGATGGGCGTCCGTCTCTTGCTTCATAAAAAACAAATCACACTTCGTTGATCGTACGCCGTGAACGTGTGAAGCACAACCGCCATTTTCAACAACTGACAGCAGCGCCGTGTCGCGGAGCTACCTGCAGATAAGGCCGGGCAGGTTAAAGAAAGGTCCACCGCTGGGAAGGGATACGTTGACTTCGCATTTACAACCGCAATTTGGCTAAAAAGAAATAGGGGCAAACACTTCCTGATTTGTTCTCGTAGTTTAACGCTGGTCTATTTTTAATGTGTCAGTGGCTTTAATAATATATATATATATATATATATATATATATATATATATATACAGGGTGTTTTTTTTAAGCTTAACAGATTTGTTAAAAAAAATCCGTGAAAGTTACACTTATGCCGCTTGTGGAGGTGAGTTATACTGCCAGGGGGACATATTATAGGGGGCTAATCGTAACGATCAGTCGTCTAATTAATTAAAATTCGTTAATTCACTTTTTAATTAATGAAAATAGACATATGGTTTCAATTAGAAACTTGCTCAGCGTCATCGAAAACCACTAATTCAGTCATTTTCAGAAAAACTTTCAGCGCGTGAGAAACGTAGTATTGTACTAAACTTACCACTCATGGAGCAGGTACAAGGCTGGGGCTAGATAAGAGAGGGAAAAATCGCGCGGGGCGCCTTATTGCAACCGCTAGCTTTGTACCTTCTCCACGAGTTGTAACTTTAGTGCACTACTACGCTTCTCACGCGCTCAAAGTCTCTCTGAAAATGACTGATGTAGTGGTTTTTGATGACGCTGAGCAAGTTTCTAATTGGAACCATATGTCTATTTTCATTAATTAAAAAGTTAATTAACGAGTTTTAATTAATTAGACGACTGATCGTTACGATTATCCCTCTATAATATGTCCCCCTGGCCGTATAACTGACCTCCACAAGCGGCATAAGTGTAACTTTCACGGATTTCTTTAAACAAATCTGTTAAGCTTTAAAAAACACCCTATATATATATATATATATATATATAGATTTATTGCAGGCAAAACTTTACTTTAATAATTAATGTTGGCTTCTATCTAGTTTAATGACCAGCTTTTTACCTGTTGGATCGTCCACGAGGAACATATTTTCTTTTTCATATGATTTGTCCATCTTTCGAGCTTCGACACTCACCGATCTACTTACTCTGAAACAGTGCAGGGTATATGTTTTAAGCCACAGTGTGATTAATACCTCTATATAAAACCTAATAACTGGGGCATCATCAAATTTGATTTCGGCGCATAAGGAAGAAAAGAAACTCAAGTATTAAGAAATTAGCTGGAAATTACATAAAATGCTACACATTACAGTACAATGAAACTTACGTTCCAGAATCAGGAACTGAGTAATGAAACATGTACTTTGCCTTTTTTTCTCGGGAATGTATTTCATATCTCATTGCTCTCAAACAGGAATGGCTTTCGTCGAATTGAGGATTTTTGGAATGATACATGAGGTAAAATGTGTCTAGGAATGATTCAACAAGCTGTAATTGTAAAGAACATGTAAGTGTTTATTAGTTAAAAAAAAAATCCAGGTGTATCGACATGAATGCCGGTACTTACCACATGCCAGTCTTTCATATTTTAGAGCAAGAGCCGTGAAGTCAAAGGGAACATTGATGCAACACACAATATAGTAACACATAAATAAAATAAGCGGGTAAATAATTATCTTCTACGTGATTAAACATGACCACCCACATGTATTTAAAATGTAGAATTGGGGTTTTCAGCAGAAGAGTCTGTTGATTTCATTATTCTAGCAGGTTTTCACAGGCTAGCTTAACTAATCTCTGAATAGCCTTCGAGAGAAAGGTGATTTAGCGAACGAATGAAACCATGCTTGGATACAAGCAAATAGAAAAAAAAATTGAGCTACCAAGATCACTATATAATGAAATGACAGAGCACGTACAAGGCCAACAAACAAACTACAGGTTCGCGAGTAACTTTACTTAAAAAATAAATCTCGTAAAGTCGGCAGCAGAACGCATAACAACGAAGCCAGTCTGGCAACCACGGGAACGTCTAATACCCTAGTTACACGGGCACTCTCAACTGCCATTGAGTCAACGACAGTTAATTGACTTAATCGCGATCGGCCGGAATTACACGGCGAGCCGCTAATGACAGTTGAGTTCAAACTGAGCTCCCCTCCCTCAGTTCAGCTGAACGAACTTCCCCAACAGAGGTAAAATGGTGCCTGCCCGCGGGGCCGCTGCCGCCGACCATCGTACGCGAGGCACTTACTGTTTCGGAATGCGGGGGAAGGCGTCTAGAAAGGATCGTAGCAGCAAAATATCCGTGAAGGAATAGGTTTAGACGTCCGAGCTGCCGCTAAAACGATCCCGCCTAGCCGGCAAGCCACCGAACGAGGGAAGATGGCGGAGGGACCAGCTGTATAAATGGACAATAGTAATGGGTGCACCAATCGTAGCGGGTGGTAACTTGCACCACCTAGCCTATAATATGCGCAGCCTAGCCCTGAATCTGCTTTGGTACTTGTGTTAACGCCACTAAAAAGCAACAAGGTATTGAACATAATGTACGATATACATATAATGAATAAAAGGTGTTTCTCAGAATAAATTACTTTAGCAATTAGACTGATCATGTGGCACAAAAACTAGTTTCGTTTTAGCTTCAACTGGGCTCTAGAGAGCCGTGTAGCACCATCTCAGTTCAGTTCAGTGCAATCACATTTGGGGCCGATAACTGTGATTGAACTCAATGACACTTCAAAGCGCCCGTATAACTAGAGTATTAGTAACGCTTCACTATCAATCAATATACGCACACTAGTAGCAAAATTGTGGCTCCTCTAAATCGCACATGGAAAGGTCTGAGCACTGCGTACATACAAGTTGTCAAATAAACACAAGTCTATTCATTATTCTTGCAGGTGATGTGCGGATAGTTTGTGTGCAGATGCAGATATATTGCTCCGATCAATATCTAGATTAATGTAAATTGCAAATAATAAAAATTACATAAATCCTATGGACTCTTACAAGGCGCTCAAACTTTTTGAGTGTCTCAACGCCTTGTCGAGGCCTCAAAACTGAACAATAAAAAATAAAAAAAAAAACAAAAAAAAAACTTGCGTTACTTAAAAAAAAATTAAAAAAAAAAAACTCATGATCCATTCTACCCTGTGCAGGTGGATGGCCAGCGAAGCGGTTTTGCACACGACACAGACCCTCCCCGAGGAGCCGGAGGAAACTAGACACGCGCGACGGGACCGCCACCCGGGGAGAGCGGAAGGAAAGGGAACTAGGCACGCAAGCGCTTGGGACGACGACAAAGAGAGGGCGGTGCGAGCGTAGACATGGCCGACGCGGGTCGCACAGTGGCAAATCTCCGAGAAGCCTTTATTGTCTACTTGAGAGCCTACTGATCTTGAAAATGGTGGCTATTCATAACTAATCTACTGAATAGACCTATCGCTAAATTACTTAAGCACCAAGGAGGATGCAGGGAATGGTGTTTCACGAGCCGCACGTACCGACATCTGCAACAGTAACTGTTCTAAAGCAAAAGCCTAAAACAAAAGGCATCTTGCACGCGCGTTCGTCAACGCTTTATTTTGGTTATTTACTTGGAATCTTATACGGGGAAGGCTTGCGCGTGTGGCGCGCGCGGCGATGCCAGCGTAGAGTGTTTAGTCACTGCACACGAAGAGTCCACGGAACCCCAGCCATAAGAAACTTCGCTGTAAAACAATTTTAGGTAAAAGAAAGTTAAGAACTGCTCCACCGTGATCGTTAGATCTCACTGAAGCAATCCAAATAAAATAAAATCGCAAGGTAGAGTTTACTGTGGTCATGCCCTTGGCAGAAAGCAACGCACTAGTATGGTATAGTAACCTCTATTATGAAGCTCGTAAGAAGGATACGTAAGGCTCATTAGTTTACTGATAGCCATACTAAAATGTTATTCAAAATTTATTTTCAGGTAGTACACTCCGCGGCACTGTTAGTGCCAGAAAAACATTGCCAGTTTTATCAGTTTTTCGGTCAGTGTAGTAATCTTGATTAGCGATAGATGGCGCCAGTCGCCATCTTCTTGTGTTATTTTGTTTGTTTAAAAGATGGCGCCATGTTTCCTTTTATTTCTTATTACTGGCGCCACCTGGGTTTTTCTTTCAATAAAACTGGGGCTCACGAGTTTTCGTGAGCAGTCGTTACCAGCCATGGAGAATAGAAGGGTAGGAGAGGGCATGACGTCGGCCGCGTAGCCTCCACAAGCCATGCTCCCTTGACGCCTCGCCTCTTTCTCATTTTCCTCCTTACTCTCCTCACTTACCATGCCAACGTGACCACATCACGTGACCGTAGCTAGCATTGGTCACACCACAGTCTAGCCTTCGATCTGATAAAACCTACCGGACGGAGCGCGCGCAAGCCTGCAAGGAGTCCTTCTACAATCAACCATCCATCTCACACGTGACATGTCACGCGCACCAATCGCCAGAGAGATCTGCGGTCACGCTGGGCACAAAATCGTTTAAACTTTTTATGACTAGGCTTCACCAATATTGCAACGTGCCCCCTCCTAGTACTTCTAACCTCCTTGTTACCAGCCCACGCCCGGGATCGAACGTGTCTTTCTTTCGTCTGGCTCTTCTGGAACATCCTGTCTCTGATGGCCACGCCGGCCCGGAGTCCAGCGACGATGGGGACAGCCGGGTCCTCCGAACCGTAAGCCGCTCGCCGGTGCGTCGGCCATCACGTCTTTCTTTGTAGTTTGGTTATAGCGCGGGCAATTAATACTCGGCACTCGTTCCACCCAGCGTTCCACCTTCTGCGCTGTCTCGGGATTGGGCCCCCGAGCACGCAGGAGGCTGTAGTCAGTATTCGTACCCAGCGTCCAAGTCAAGTCTTCTCTCTTTGTAAAATACAAAATGGCGACGAGGTAAACGTTTTTTTTTTGTTTTTTTTCTTCTTCGCTCTCGGGCGATGGTACGATTCCGCGTCCCGGTGCATTGGTCTGGAGCACCGGCGCGTTCCATTTTTTTTTGTTCCGTTCGATTTGGGCCTCGTCGGAACGCGCGGTTAGCTCGGCGGCGATGTAGCCGAGGTCTGTCTATTTTTCTTGTGCACGAACAGCTTTACCGGGAGTGGGGCCCCGGTGAGCATTAATTTTTTTTATGAACTTTGTTCGTTGCATTGCTTTTTCTGCAAACGTAACCGTACTTTGTTGTTTGAGTATGCTTCGTCGGTGACGTGTCACCGTGTCCCTCGTATTCGAACGTTGGGTTGGGGCCCTAACGTTCGATTTCCATTTCCTTTTGAAGCTTTTGAGCCAACGTGCTACAATTCATGGTTTTCGCGTGTTCCAACCACATTGTTGGTTCCGCATGTCTTAAACATAGTCCTTCTTGTAAAAACAACTTGTTCGCTGTCATAGTCACATCAATGTATCGGTGTCCCACATCTTGTTTCATAGATTCACACCGCTGTAGGGGTGTGCGGCCAAAAGCTCTAAGTTATGAAAACAAACAACAGCTCACGCTGTTAGAGTTTTGAGGCCGCAACCCGTGTTTTCGGGGACACACCCTCATGTCGCAAACGAGTTCCGCCGTGGGTGTAGTGGGTCTGACGCCCCCGCCTGCATTTTTGGCTGTCCCTGGGGCGCCGTATCAAGCTTGGTCAGCATGGAAAAAGTCATTTTTAGCATTCCTTGGTGCTACTGGATTAGATACTGTCTCTGCCACTCGTAAGAAGCAGATTCTCTTCACGATGCTTGGGGTCGAGGGACAACGAATTGTCGATTCTTTTCGTCTTGACGAGATGCCGGTTCCCGAAGGAACCGATGAGTTTTCAGCGTTTCTCACTACTCTCGAGAAACATTTTGAATTCTCCGGGTCTGTTATGCTGGAACGTAAGAAGCTGTTCGACAGGGTTCAGCAACCGGGTGAATCGGTGACAGAATTTCTCACGGCGTTACGCCGACAAGGTTCTCTTTGCGCGTTCGGGGACGCACTCGACGCGATCCTTTGCGACGTTTTCCTGAGAGGATTGACTTCGAAGAGAGTACATGAGCGTATGCTCCGCGACTCCGTGGATGGGCAGTTGCCCACATTAGACAGGGCTTTCCAGCTCTCGCGGCAGTATGAGCACCTCGCTGCAGCGTCGCGCGAGTATCACCAGGGGAACCCTGAAACTTCAACCCTCGGCGATGCCGGCAGAGGCCCGGCAGACGTACGGAGAGTCCTGGCGCAAGCGGCCGTTCGAGCGCCGCAGACCCAGGAGGGCGGTCCCTGGCCACCATCCTCCTCGAGCCCTGGCCAAGATGGCCACCCTGGCCTCCCGCCCGGGCCTGACCATGGCCCTTACCCGTTGCTGCTCGACCCCAGTTCGTGGACACCGAGGTCTTCCGGCCACGTGCCCAGATACCCGGCGCGCATGAGCCACCCCACGAGTCGGGACCCTCCTCCGTCTCGGAGGGCCGAGAGAGCCAACGACGAGCCGCCGACGTGCTG